CCAACTGGGGAGGGGGCAAGGACCAGGCCCTGGGTTGGATCTTCCAGAGCAGAGGGCTCCAAGAGGGTGGCTGTGTCCAGGCAGGGGGTGACCCCCTTCCTGAAGCTTCAGAGTTACAGCAGTGGCCGGAAGTCAGTGCTCGCCAAGAGGATTCACCTTGGCTCCGGCGCTCTGCCCGCCACAGACGGCACGGCCTTCAGGCTCTGCAGCGTGAGCCACTGGGTCTCAGTGGCCTTCCCGAGGCCGGGCAGGGCCAGTGGTGCCGGGCCCACCAGCAAGTGCTTCCCAGCTCTACCTGTGCGCACAAGGCCGCTGCAGAGAACTGCTTCCCCATCTGCGTGGGGTCTCCTCCTCACAGCCCCTCTCTTCTGTCCGACTCCCCAAGGGGATGAGCGGACTGTGTGCCGAGAATGGGGGCTTCCTGCAGGGACGACCATTAATAGTGATCACAGTAGCAAATGCTTTCACGGTGGCCATGACGCACCAGGCACTGTTCTAAGTGCCTACTTTTAGTTCACGTGATTCATCTGGGGACCCCCAAAGCAGTTTCACACAGGCACCTGATGTAAGAGCCCACAGTTGGGGAGCACCTCTGGTGCAGGGGAAGAACAGCCCACACACTGGGCGCCCCTCTTCCATCCCACAGGTGAGTCCACGCTGGCTCCCAGGGGCCACGTGCTCCCCTATACCCCAGATGCTCCCCTACACCCCAGCCACAAAGCTGGCTGCTGTGCTGGGCTACAGCCGCACCGCCTACCTCCTGGGGCCTCCTGAAATCCCCATGGGAGGAGCCCATGTGGTGGGGGTGCTTTTCCCACTCTGGTCCTTTAGAGAAAATCTGAGAGTTCGACACCCTCGCTTCCCAGCGTGAAGGTCAAGTGGAAAGAACGGGAGGACACCTTCCCAGGCTGCAATCAACAGGATGTGAAGGCCAATGAGTTCCTGCCTCCTTTCTCAGAGGGCAGATGAGCGGTCATGGTAGCCCACTCTGGAACATTCCGATGCCCCATCAGGGAAGTGAGGGTTGAGGGGGTGTGTGGGAGGGGGTCTGGGAGGTGGCAGTGGTGGCAGCATGAAAAGATTGAGAAAGGAGCCCCACCCTGTCCCTAGCAGGCTCGGCTTTCTCGGTGCATCTACAGTATCGAATACACACCACCTTTTTTTCCTGCAAAACAGAGAGAAACACACTGCATGTGTTTGGCACATGGGTGACGGGGACAAGCCAGGTGTTAAGACACGAGAGGCCTCTTAGGTTGCTTGGCTGCAGGTGTAATTTAGGTCAGGTGCTATGCTGGGCCCTTATTCTTGGCTCATTTCACACGGCTGCCACTTTAGATTTAAGGAGACAAGGTTCAGAAAGGCCAGGTGTCTTGCCCAAGGTCATAGGCCCAAGAAGTTTGGAACTGCAGGCCAGCCCAGGTCCGCCTGAGGCCAAAGTCCCTGTTCTCCCCACTGGGTCTCCCTGCCAGCTCACTGCTGCCTGGCGCTTTAAGAGACAAGCCCGGGGCCCCTCAGGCACTAACCCAGTTACATCTGAGCCACAGCAGATGGGCCCCTGCCTGCTGTGCCTTGTCTTTCATCTCTCTGACCACAGACTGTGTCACCCCTTCTCGGGTCACTGTGCTCCAGGGCACAGCTTTTCTGTGGCTCAGGTCTGGTTTCTGGGAGCATCCTGTAGATTTGCGCCAGGACCAGGAGGACTTCTTGCATCCCTTTGGTACCTACAAGCTGACTATAATCTTGTGGCCTGGGATGGCCACAGGTGCCAAAGGACTAGGGTGTCCTGCTAGCCAGCAAGTGGGCCCAGGAGATGTGCAAACCCAGGAGGAGCAGGGCCTCGGCCGCATGGGACCCTGGCATCAGCCCTCTGAGCTGCCATGACCTGCCTCCACCCTGCTGGCGTGGAGATGAGGATGCTGGTCCTTTTGCTGAGAAAGGGGCAGGCCGCTGGACCTGGGTGCAGCTTACCACAGGGCATATGGCAGGAGGGGAGTCTAGTTGCCCCCAACAGCTTGTAGAGAAGAAGCCAAAGGGCTAAACCGACCCATGACCCTCAGCGTTGGGCAGCTAAGTCTCTGTGGTTCTCTAGGTTCTAGGGTTCTTGTGGGCCCGGAAATTTTCAGCCCATGCCTGAACTCATATGCTGAACAGGGGAACAGGCTGCCATTTCCAGATGACCTTGAAGCGTCCCGAGCAATCTGCTTAGTGGAACTAATTCTGAAAGCTGGAGCTGCTCAAGGAGGCAGCCAGACTTGCCAGGGCCGCCAGATCCGGTTCGGCAAGCGAGTGAAAAGTCAGCCTATTCCCTGACCCCCAGGGAGCCAAGAGCGGCTCAGAAACCCAGCACATAGCGAGAGCAACCGGAACAGGCTCCGGCCGGGGTCTGGGCCACGTCTGCTGCCTGTGGTGCTGGCAGGGTGGCCAGAGGTGGGCCGAGACCTGGAAGTGCTGGCAGCCAGGACTGACTTGCCACCCAAGGCCCTCTGTTGTGCGAGAGGCCTTCCCTGGCTTTGAGATGCTGTCAGGTACCGGGACCCTGACGTCCTTTCCAGTTCTACAGGCCCTGCCTCCTCTCCTCTCCAGAGATCAGAGGTGCAGCTCCCGAGGCTGGCGCTGAACTAACCTCACCAGCAGCTGCACTCGGCATTCCCCCACGTGAGCTCCTCGGTTCAGCCTGGCTGGTCTGACAACCTGAGGAGACGTGCAGGATGCAGACTCCAGCCCGCCCCCCACTGGAGGGCCATCTGTCCTAGCCCATCTGCCCAAAGCCCTCACCATCCCCGTTCAGCCGAGAACCCAACTGACATAGGCCCCTTCAGCAGCGCTACCCAGAGGCACAGGGCTCCACTCCCAGCCCTCCAGGCTGGCAGGAGACAGAGGTCTCGATGGATGACATATTTCATGACCACGATAACCTGCCCTCCCCCCATATCGCACTCCCCAAACTGACTGAGTGGCTGCCCAGATCTCAGCCATGTGTCAAGGACGCAGAAGAAGACAAGAAGCAGGCCTGCTCTCAAAGCTCCGGGCGCAGTGAAAACCCTGCAGACCAAGCAATTGTGAGGTGCCAGGCGCTGGGCTATGCCCCTGGCAGGCAAGAGCCCCCCTCGCTCCCCTCTAAGGCCTAAGACACCCCTGCAGGTACAAGTGGCAGAGCTGAGACCTGAGCTCTAACAACTGTGCTCTTAACACGAGGCCTTCCTTTCTTCCCTTGGAGAGAACGTGCTTCTGCCTCTCCCCACCCTGGTGTTTCCGGACTCGGCGGGAGAGGCGGCGAGAGAGGCTGGCCTCCCAGGAGGGGGAGTCCCTGAGGAGGCAGCTTCTCAGTCCCTTTGTTCGGACACGCACGAAGGCCGCCTCCCAAGCTTACCTTGTAATTATTATAACCAGGTGTTTTGTACATTGTGATCTTGGTGCTGCATTGAATCGGAAAGGAGAGATTAAATCGAACCGTTATTTCAAACACGGCGAAATGGACTTGGCTAGTTTGAGGGCAACCAGCCCCTCCCTCACGCATGTCTTTGTCTGTGCGTGTGATGATGATGCCCCAGGACCAAGCACGCCGAGGGCGGCCGTGCCGGAGCCCTGTGCAGGCTGTCGTGCCCCAGGTGTCCTGCTGTGGCCCGGCTCTGGGGGACACATCGAGCCCTGGCTCAGGCCAGCTGCAGGGCCACAGGACAAAAGCCCCTGTGGGAGGCTTCAGATGTCCCCATGGTGCTCTGCTCGAGTGCCAAGACAGCCCTTCTTGGCTCAAGGGCATGCCACAGACCACTGCTTGTCTCTCTAGGGGTCAGGGAGATAACACTGTGCAAGAAAGCGCCTTCCCGAAGCCAGGCCGCCACTGAAAAGGAGTCACACAGCTCAGCTCCAGCCTCTCGCTGTGGCTGCTGCTCATTCCCCGGCACAGCGGCCTGGAAATCAAATATTCCACAGGAAGATGCAGATGAACCGCTCCCGCGGGCTTTCCTCGCTGGGCCTGGCCAGTACTGCAGACCCCAGCCTGCGTGGGCCCCTCTCCGAGTGGGCCCTGCTCTCGGCTTGGCTTCTGGCTCTGCAGAGGCTGCGGGCCCCCGCCCGGCCCAGGTAGGGAGTGGAGCACTTAAAGACCTTTCCGTCCCCCCCTGGGGCAGAAGCTACAGCACCACACCACTGCGGGGATGGCAGTGGGGTCTCAGGCAGAGCTGCCAGGGGCTCCTTCAAAACCACAAACTAACCTGCAGGATCAATGCATAGGCCTACCAGGCCCCATTAATCTTCAGAGCTCAAGGGATTATAACCAACATATCACATGCTTTACTGATTAAAAAGTGCTTCACGCCTGTGCTGCAGGTAGGCGCCACATTCACCCAGGTGGCTCCTCTCCAGCTCTGCTCCCCCACAAGGCTTTGCTGCGAGTACCTGGAGGGGTGGGGCAGGGGAGCTGTGGTCCTCTCTGCACAGCCAGGCCTGATGCCTCGTGGGGTGGGCAGTCACCAGGCAGCAGCCCCACGGGAGAACTGCTCTGTTCCCACAGGAGCCCCCGGTGTTGCCATGGTCCCTTCAGGCTCTTTGCTCACACACCACGGGTCGGACTCAGCTCCCCAGCACACTCCAGAACCCACCTACTGACTCTCTGGTCCGACACTCTCACACACAAGGACACCCAGGGCCAGAGAAGAACAGAGCCCTGAGGGAGGCAGGATGAGCCCGGCCCGAAGGTGTCGGGAGGAGAGGTGCTGGCGTGTGGCAAGGGCCCCGAGTTTCAGGCCCTGAGCACAGTGCTCAACCCCAGCCGCTCTCTGTTTACCCTGCCAGGACCTGTGGGCATGGCCGAGGGAGAGCTTTCTGGAAGACTGCCAGGCCCCCCAGAGTGGCTTCCGGAACCCAAGAGGGAATGGGGACCCCACACGAGCTCCTGCCCCCTCCCAGAGGCTGTAGATTGGCTGGCTGGCCTGTCAGTCTGCCTTGGCTGAAACGTGAGAACTACCAGTACGGTGTGGCCACCACGTCTGTCCGGTATTTACACTTTCCTTCCGGAGGCTGCAATGGATCAGAGAGAAGCGGGCTGGTAGAGGTGGTGTTCTCAGAAACAGCTTTCTTTTAAGTCAGAACATTAACAGACTGTAAACGAGCGCCACTCTGAGAAGGCCACAGAGACATGGCTTTGAAAGGATTTCCTTGGAGCAGCTACGGGACCTTGAAGCTCAGGGCAGCCCCGCCTCCCCGGGCCGCCATTCTCTTTGGGCAAGCACCAGGGGCACAGGCAGTTCGAGCAGGGGCGGCCCCAGCCCTGCCCTGCTTTGCAGCAGTGCCTTGAAAAGGAGCTGGAGACACACGCAGATGGGAGGGGGCAGTGCCCAGTTCCTCCACCTGGACACCAGCAGCTCCGGGGAGGCCTGGTCCACGCTGGACTCTGCTTTGTGTCTCACTCTGTTTGTTTTGGGTACTTAGAAATTGCACGGGCTTGCCAGGGGCCGAGTGTGGGTGCCCCTGCCAACCACGCCTGCTATGGAGGGCCAGCCTCACCAGGCCGAGAGCTCCGAGGGAGGCAGAGCTGAGGTGTCCCGCCCGGCTGAGGCCGAGGGCGTCTGCAGCCCTGCACATCTGTAGCTCGGCCCCCTGGGAGTCAGCACGACTCCATTTTCTTCTCAGCAGGTCAGAAGCTTTGGGTAAGGGATTGGTGTGGGGCTGGGCTTTTCCTTTTGGCCGTTTTACTCAATTTGACACAGTTTCCCCAAAGGCCCTGCTGGCCATTCCTGACAGCCTTACCATCCTCTGAGCCGCTGCACAGCAGAGTGTCCTGGTACTCATGCTGTGGCTCTCTCTCCAGCAACATGTGGCTGCCACAGCCGGCGCCTGCTGGTCACCAAGTCCCATCCACCCTGCCCCTGGCCCTGGGGGATGGGGAGAGGGGGACAGAACATTGACCTTCAGAGCAACAAAGGGCTGCTGGCGTGCTGTGCTGGGGACCTGGACCAAAGAGTGTGAGGGGGTGCAGGAGAGGAGGGAAAATACCACTGAGTGGCTCCTGGCGACGGGCCAGGCACTGGAGTTGTTACATTGGGGAGCAGCTCATTCTGACCAAGGCTTGTCTGGATGAAGGACTCAGGAGAGGGGAATGGAGCAAGCCCCCCAAGGCAGCTGCCATGACGGGGCTGGAGACATTACAGGGAGACCTCCCACCCCCCACTCTCCCTGATCACTTGTCAGAACTACGCACAGGGGCAGCTCCTTCCCTCGCTCCTCTGCGGAGTTACTAAACCGAATGCCCCAGGGTCCTCAGGCAAACGCGGGGGTGTGGTACCCCAGGGCCTGTAGCCCAAGCACCCACAGCAGGAAGAGTGTCAGGGGCAGGCAGAGGGTTGGGTAGTAGGCAAGCCTGGGGCAGGGAGGGGCAGGAGCCTGGGCGCTGAAGAGACTGGTCTTGGAGGCAAGCTGTGAACTGGTGCTGAGGATTCCAGAATGGAGGGGGGAAGACCCCCGACCCCTCCCCTCCCTCCTCCCACCCAGGGCAGCCCACACCTTTGCTCGCTCAGGGCTTCCGATGGCTGCAGGAGGCTGCGCTCTCACGGGGCCCCCTTTCCAGGTCAGCTGTTTTATTTGAAGAAATGTGCCTTCTGGGGACCAGACCTTTCCAGCATTGAACTCGACTCAGAAGGAGATAAAGCTCGATGTTTCGAAAACCTCTTATTTTTCTCAGCCAGCAGCCCACTAGTTCTGGAAGCAGAAATCCTTGGGCTTAGGAGGGGGGCTTGGGACTCTGCTCTGTGACACATAAGCCCCTGCTGCCGTCCCTGATGGGCAGCTTCCTGCTCTTGCTTGTACCCTCCAGTGACTGGGAGCTCACCACTTCCCTGGGCCGAGTGAACGGTCGATTAAAAATGAGGAGCCCACCAGGACTGGTGTGGCTCAATGGGTTGGCTGTCCACACCCAACCCACCCTGCCAGTTCGATTCCCAGTCAGGGCACATGCCTGGATTGCGGGCCAGGTACCCAGATGGGGGTGTGCGAGAGGTAGCTGATAGTTGTTTCTCTTCTCTCACATATCAATGTTTCTCTCTCTCCCTCCCTTCCCCTTTCTATAAATAAATAAATAAATAAATAAATAAATAAATAAATAAATCTTTTAAAAAAACGTGGAGCCCTAATTAGCCCTTTTATCTAATTGCCACTCTTTGACGTTTGCAGTCTTCTGGGGTCGTGAAGAAAAGGCCCCTTGTTTTTTTACCTGACAGCCCTTCACGATCAGAAGCTTCCGGAACAGCCCCGTGCACCCCTCCTCCCCCACCTCACCGGGTCCTGCTGCTTAACGGGGTCTGCAGGAGACCTCACTGGGGGTCCGGATGAAGGGGCAGCACGCCCAGGAAAATGTGAGTATGGCTTTTCCTTTTCTTAAAAAAAAAAAAAAGCCTCTGACTTGCAGAATCTTTTAAAGCTGCTTTCTTCCAGGGTAGTTTGGAATGTTCTAGAGGATCTCATTCTGCAATTAGCAGAGTGATGGGCTGCCAGGCAGCAAACACCAGCAGCGAGGATCGGGCCAGTCTGGCTTCGAGCTCACCTCTCACGGCCCCAGGCCCCTGGGCCCCAGGTCTCCTCTGGCCTAATTTCTTTGAAATGGGCTGCTTCAGCATCAGGGTCGAAATATGCACAGGCTGTGCTGGCTTTTGGAAAACTGTCGCTGGGGATCAGGAGGATGTTTAGGGGAGGGACCACAGCCAGCCGGCCAGCAGCTTCTCAGGACCGATGCCCCCACAACCTGTGCCGTCTCTGCAGCAGCACCCGGAGGGTGGCCAGCGGTGGCAGAGGAGGACACAGGACCATTCCTAGAAGGGCCAGCCTTCATTTCACAGGCCGGAAACGGGGCACCTGAGCAGGAAGGCACTCTGCCAAGGTCACAGGGCGAGCTGAGGCCAGCGCCCAGGGCCCAGGGTCCTGACTGGGGGCCCCTTCAGTCTGCTACAACCACAGGTATGTCTGTTCTTTCCTTCCTTCTACAAACTTTTGCCGAGTACCTGTGCACATTCTGGTGCCATCATACTGAGCACGGAGCCGGGCACAGGTGCTCAGTGGCACAGGCTGTCACTGCGGCCACGTTCCCTGCCCTCTCGGGCCTGGAGGGGTTAGTCTGCCGTGGTTCCTGCCCCAGGTGGACTCTGTGACCAGGGCGGGGCTGTCTTTCACGTGGGGAAAGCCCAGGGTCTGGAGCAGAGCCAGGCCCTGGAAGGAGGCTAAGAGGACATTCTGAAAGAGGGAACGAGATGCTCCCACCCCAGCCTGCTTTTTGAGCAAATGAGAAGGCTGAAGGTCAGAGTCGGGGTGACGAGCTGATGGCCACATAGCTACAGAGGAGGAGCTGCCACCCAGTGGGAGCTGTTGCCCCTGCCTCTAAAGCCCCCTGTGGGCAGACGTGCGGCCTGCGTGTCTAGCTCTTCCTGGGGAGGTGCCGCTCCCAGCTTTTACTCAAATGGGGTGGGGCAGGCTCCTCAGGCAGCTGCATCTGGGAGAGCGAGGACCTGGCTCAGAGCCCAGGTGTCCTGGGGACCCTCAGGGCTCTCTGCTCCATGTCAGGACACCAGGGTCTCTGGAAAGGGTGTTGGGCCTTTAGGGGCCTCGGAGATGATTCCAAGAGGGCTTCGCTGGTGAGCTGTCCCTGGAACCCACGGCTCACACTGGGCTGCCAAGGGGGCAAAAATGCTCCTGGGGGAGAAGTCCCTCGGACGGGACTCTCCTGCCCAGTTCCGTGTGGTGGCTGCCAGACTGTGGGCTCTCCAGACCTGGGTGACCACTGGAGGACCTGACCGGGGAGGGGCTGGTGTGAAGAAGGCCCACCCACCCAGCACCCTCTGATGGGGGCCTGGAGGGGAACACAAGTGGCAGTCCCTCCGCAGTCTGGATGCTGCTGCACAGGGCAGGGTGGGACAGGCAGCCAGCTCCCCGCCCTGGTGGCCGCCCCCCTGCCCCCCTGCCCCCCTGCCCCATTCTGCCTTCTGTGCTCCTCTGACGACAGAGCCCTGGAAGACGGCGCCATTTAGGCAACTGGTCAAGCTCCAAAGCAGAGATGGGGCACCCTCGACAGTCTCCCCGCCCAACTCCAACCCAGCTGCCTGGAACCCGAGTCCTTTCACTCTCCCTCAGAATCAACGGCACAGAGATGGGGCTCACCGGGGAAGAGAGGGAGCACTGGCGTTAACAGAAGGGTGGCCTCGCCTCAGCACAGAGGGGCCTGAGCGCCTCTGTGACCTCAGCACTGGCAGACCAAGGGGGGCGCCTGCTTTCCCATGAAAAGCAGAGCGGGGTGCGGGGAGCTGCTCCCCCTTTCCATCCCTAGTGCCTGCCCCGGCCCCGGCAGTTGAGTCACTTTTATCTACGTCCTGGTGCCTGGGTTTCCCATGATGCTGCAGGCAGCAAGCACCCTGGGACGCCAGGCCCACAGGCTGATGGGATACCCCGTGCCCGGGGTTGGAGGAGCTCCCTGCAGGCTTCGGCCGAGGCCAGGCATTGGGGGTTGGAGAACACACCCAGCCTGGGGTCCACCTGAGCGCTGCACAGTGTGTGACCTCACTGAAGCAACAGAAATGTCAGCCGAGCAAGTCCCAGGCCACACCAAAGGACCTCAGTGAGAAGGAACCTCAGGGCGGCCCCGTGCGGCGCAGGCTGGGCAGAGGCCTGGCGAGGGGCGAAGGGGGACAGGAGGAAGCCTCTGGCCCCAGAAAGGTGTGGGGACGCTGGGCATTCTAACTCTGAAGCCTGCGACTGTTCTTGGCAACATTCCCAATGAATCTGTGTCCCCTCCCCCATTTAAATCGCAAGCTTTGTTACTGAGCATTAGCTCAGGGGCTCAGCGCAAACAGGAATATTAGCTACCAGCTCTCAGCAGAGAGAAAGCTGCAGTTTGGCCCTGGTACCCAGGGACCCGCCACACCCAGCCCGCGTTTTCTGCGGGTGCTAACACTTTCCACAGGTAACGGAAGAGACTCCTGTTGATTATTTATACTTCTCCCCAGGTGACTTATTTATTTTTATCCACCTTCCCCAACAACAAGTCCGGCAGAAACAACAGTGCGGAGCAGCCCGGAAGCTGCCACTCCCCACGGCTGAGCTGCTCACGCAGTGGAAAGTTTGGTGCCAATGCCCTTTGGGAGCCAGGGCCCAGCCCCCCAGCCCCCGGGGAGGCTGCCCCGAGACTGTGTGCACAGACTGCGGGTGCTCCACCCGGGGCCCACGAAGCCCTGCTGGAGGGGTGAGGGCCTCTGGGAGGCTGTGAGCCAACGGGCCCTGTGCAGGCTCAGCTGTCCCCTGGGCCCTGGGACCGGCTTCCACAGGTGGGAGCCCCGTGCCAGGTGGCCACAGAGTTCCTCCAAGGCTGGTGGGGACATGCTTGGTGATGGGGGCAGTGGAGGTTCTCCATGGTCAGGAAAACCACTCACTATCCGCCTCTGCAGGGCTGAGCTGTGGGGCTTCCTGCAGCAGCCAAGAGTAGGAGGGTCCTGCACACCTTGACCCCGCCCGGGGTCCGAGGCTGGATCCCTTCCAATGACCCGGACAGACCCTGATCAGGCCTCTGTGTTATCCTGTCCTCAGATGGGCCAAAGAGGGGTGGGTGGGTGGGTACTTGGGCCTGACCATCTATCACCAGCCACTGAAAGCAGAAGCCCACTCCAGGGCTTCCAGGAGACGGCCCGGCCTGCCCCGTGGCCCACCACCGACCGTCCGCCTCCGAACCTTCGGACACAAAGGTGGGTGATTCACTACCTGACCCCTGGGGATGCAGTCATTTTGGCGAGTTACCGTCCCCCTCCCTGCCGGGGTCTGGCACCAACCATTTTTCCATTTAAACAGGAACAGACAGAAATGATAAGATACTTTGTGATGGAGAGAGAATGGGGATTGGTAAGCCTTGGAAAAATTTCCCCACAAATAACAAGAGGACCCGCAGCGCGGAATCCAGGCAGGAAGGTGGGTGGGGGCTCCGGGGACGGGACCCTGCTCCGCCCGACCGCTCGCCACTCACACCCACGCGCTTTAGTGGGGAAAAGGAAAACAGGCCGTTTGCTTAGAAACGTGGACTTCCACTCCTGGGCTTCTGTCACAGACTCTCTCCCCGGGCCTGCTGCCCTCCCACGCCGCCCGTCCCCACCTCATCTCCCGGCTGGGGCAGCTGCCTCTGGGAACCATGTGGCTGCTTCGGAAATGGAACAGAGGCTGAGCCTGGCGCTTTCTTTTCCTACACAGTTGAGCCACTTGCAACGTGGAGCAAATCAATGTCAAGATCAGAGCCGCTTCCCGACATGTGCCCGCCAGCGCCGAGGGGAAGAGCGCAGGGATGTGCCTCTCCTCTGAGCAGAGGCGCTGGGGCTGAGCGGTGTGTGCCCGCCACCTGCCATTCAGTGGGCCACCGCTAACAAGGAGCAAGGAGCCTGCTGCACGCCAAGTGCCTGTGCAGGAAGCTCCGAGATGGATCCCTGAGGGGCTGCAGCAGCCACTCGGAGGGAGATGGAGGAAACCGGAAGAGTAGTCAGAGCCACTACGAAGACGGCTCCTGAGGTCAGGCTCACGTGACTCTCACACTGTGTGGGGGCCCTGCCTGCCCCAGGAGCTGAGGACATTGGGTCTCAGCCTTCCTGCGACCCACTTGGGCACCCCCTGCTCTCTGATTGAAATGCTTTGCTGAGAAGTGAGACCTTTCCTTCCCCCAAAGAATGGGGAAGGGGAGGGCCACAGGGGAGACTGAATGTCCACCCCGCACGGCCTCTGGGGAGCCTCGTGCGGCACAGGTGACTCTCACGGCCGCCTGCCATGGGAGAGTGAAAGGCACGGAACTGGCGGCTGCCGAGTTGAGCTCATGTGCTGGGCAGGGGCTCAGAGCTGCCCTCCACCTGCATGACAGCCCCGTGGTAGTGGGTGGAGGGCACGCCGTCCACAATGGAGGGCAGAGCTAGAATTTAAACGTGGGTCTTTTTGCTCTGAAATGTGTCCCAAACACACGCCCCTCTGGGCCACCTGCCCGGGCAACTCGGAGTGTTGTTCTCAGCTCTTCTGTGTCTCCCCAGGGTGGCAAGGTGAGCTGCGATGTACCTGTGCCATGAGCATCCCCCACCCCAGAAGTCCCGAGTCAGGGACACTGTGTTCTTCTCTAAGTTCCCTGCCCCCCAACCTTCTCCCGTTAAATCATGTGAATCTGTGAGTCCACTGGTGTGCTGCCAAACTGGCTTTCTGAAAAAAAGAAAAAAGCCCCGATGTGTAGTGCTTGCCAATTTCCATGGTGTAAATACTGCACCGCGGCTGACTTCAAGCTGCCCACGGTGTCACTGCAGGTGGATCTGGGGAGTGATGAGCAGAGGGGCTTGCAGACCCGGCCAGCACTGCCTGTACCTGTCTTAGCGGCAGGAGGCCCCGCAGGAGGCCCTAGCATAGCGGAGCCCACAGGTCACGCAGGCGGTGCCGGTGCCAAAGGACGCCCAGCCTGGGGACCAAAGCACACTGCTGTCTGGGTGGCTGAGGGGAGTCCACACAAAAACAGTTTTCAGGGTTGAGGACAAAGAACCGGAGGAAAGAGATGTGCCTTTTTTTTTGTCACTCGGCAACTCAACTTGGGGACACATAAGGTACCACTGAAACACCCTCAGGACACCTCTAACATTGGGACAATGGCAGTGGGGGCTTTGTCTTCCCCCATTCAGTCTCCAAAAGATCACTCAGTGAACCTGGTTTCCCCACAGCCAATTTTAAACTGGTAAACTGCTCCGTGTCCCTTGTCCTACTCATGGGTGGGTGTGGGTGTCTTGGGGTGGCTGAAGGGGACTGCAGCCAGCAAGAAAGATAAGATTGTTGCCAGCTTTCCTCAGTCTTTCCCAAGGCAGAAGCAGGTTTGTCACCTTGGGGTAAGATGCCAGGCAGCAGGTAAAGAACTTAACAGCTTGTGGGAGTTCTAATTAGAGAGCCAATTATAACTCAATTGACCTGCCTGGCTCGGAAAGACCTGGAAAAACCGCACGTTGTCTTAGGAAGAAGTTGATTTTGCTTCTCTTTTGTCCTGGGAGGTCGCCACAGGGAGCATCGGTGCCAGCCCCACGCATCTGTCTGGATGCCGCTGCCCTTCGCAGAGGCTGAGAGAAGCCACAGGGACACGCTGCCTGCAGCGGGGGGCTGTCACCCTGCACCCAGGACGGACGCTTCCCGTCTTTACGGAGAGAGGCACAGGCAGCACCAGGCCCCGCAGGCGGCCCTGTGGGGAGCAGGCCCGACCTTTCTGCTTCATTTGAAAGGACGCCAGCCAGCCTTTCAGTTACAGATTTAATCAAGACTGACCTCTTGGCAAGGCCAGACCCCAAGGGGGGTGTGTGCGTGCCCCTGCAAGGTTCCCAGGCTCAAACCCCAGCTCCGGTGGGACCAGCTGCGGAAACGCCGTGCAAACTGCCAGCACCTACGTATCCTTGTCAGTAACTTTCTCTCCTCTCCGCAGATGTCGGCGCTCCTTGGGTTCCGCCCGGGCCCTCTCTCTCTTCCTCTCTGTGGGTCACACCCCAGGTGGTCTCAAGGCCTCCCACACCTTCAGCTACCACCTGCAGGCTGCTGCCCCCCAACCACGGCTCCAGCCCCAGACACAGCTCAACTTCCAGACCCCCAGACACACACACCTAGGGCAGCTCTTCCTAAAGGGACCCAGACTTGTGTCTTCCTCCCCACATCTGGTCATTGCTGGTGAAGACACCTCACCCTTCCGGGCACCAGAACCAGTGTCTGAGAGTCAGCCTGGAACCTTCCAATCCCCGCTCGGAGCCCCCAGTCCTGAATCTGCCTGCTCAGCGGCCCCTGCCCTGGGGCCCCCAGTCCCTGCCCCTGCCTGCTCAGCTAACGCTGTGATGTTAGTTGCATCGCGACATTGCTCAGCTTCTACCTCGAGCACCCCCACCATGGCCCCCAGAATAATCTCTCCAAAATGCAAACCTGACCACGTGACTATTTCTTTCCAACACTATCGTGCAAAATTTCAAACCTGAAGAAAAGCAGAAAGGCTAGTATGATCAACATCACCTACATTCAATAGCCGCCAACGTGTTTCACATTTGCTGTATCTATTTGCAGGGCAAAGGTTGGTGTTTTAAAGCAAATTACAGGCATTGTAAAATTCTACCCCCAATACTTCGGCAGGAATCTTTAAAAAAAAATAAACAACCAAGGACGTTTTCTTATCTAACCACCCAACCATATCACACCCACCAAAGCAATGGCGCCTCCTGACCACCTACCACCGGCCCAGGTTCCAGCTTCCCCAGCTGCCCCAACTCGTCTCTGACGGCCGGTTTTCAGACGCCACCTGTGCTCCACCTGAGGAAGAGTCCGCATCTCCACCCAGCTGCTGCGCCTGGCCCCCAGGTCTCGAGTTCTGCGGGGCCTTTTCTGTCTCCCACCCCCGAGGACAGATCGCCCACACGTACCTCTGCCCAGGAGACCCCGTGACTTCCCTCGTACGGACTCACGCACCCGCACTCTCGGGACTTGGGTCGGGGGCAGCGTGCTCCTGCTCTCGGGACCCAGCCCCGCACCTGCGCAGAGCTGGGCTCCGCGGCTCTCGCACACGTCATCTCACGGGTCGGCACCGCAGCGGCGAAGAGGCCGTGTGCCGAGTGAGCGCTGAGCGACTGAGGTGCTGAGACAAAGTGCAACCCTGCCTGGCACGGGGCAGGTGCTCACACCCTGGGTCCTTTCCTGCTTCCCAAGCCCTCAGGTGACCGGCCAGTTGATGTTCTGAGAGGCTGGAAAAGCAGCAATACCTACACAGGTACTTCCAGAGGCAGGTGTTCCACCAACACCCAGCAGAGAAGGAGAGGCCAGGGGCGGACTGGAGGAGGGGACAGGGCCCCTGCACCCCGAAGAGCACCTGGTGGGAGGTGAGAGGCCGAGTGACCGTGTGGGGGGTGGGAGGCACAGTGCTCTGGGGCCCCAGGCACTTCGGCAGAGGAACCACCTGCCGAGGGGCTGTCACGGGGCCTTCCTGAAGCTCTCAGAGATGCGGCGCCTCTGGGACACTGGGGCCCAGGCTGGACAGCCAGTGTGGGGCGCTCAAACTGTGGTCGGTTCTCTCCCACTGAGGCCCCATGGAAGCACCAGAGGGGCAGGGCTTTCTCTGGACCCCGGGCTCCACGGCCTTTACTCAATGCCCCCGGGTGGCCCTCTGCACACCTGCACCTTCCTCTTTAGGGAGCAGCACCCATATTCTTGCCAACCCTCCCCAGACACGCTTGGGGGGTTTCTGAAGACAGGGCCCCAGAGCAGGCTCTGTGCAGGGGGGAGGGGCCGGCCTTGGCTCTAAGTCATGACTTTCCTGGAACCTGAGGGTTTGAGACTTGGTGATTCCGGGTACATTTGTCATGAGAATATTTGTCATTCCTTCCTCCTAAGCAAACCTTCACCCCACCCCCTTGGTAACAGGAGGGGTGCCAAACGCTGCCCTGGAAACCGCTGCACCCAACTGGGCTCAGAATTAGGGCTGAAGCCAGCGATCCAGGAATATCTGGGGCTCAGGCAGCTGTGAGAAGGGATGCTACACAGCAGGGAGGGGGAGACACTTCCAGGCAAGGCAAGAAGCCAGAGGAGAGACCAAGACTGTACTCCAGTGGGGAGCGAAAGAGAGAGGAGACAAGCTCCGTAAGTGCTGCTGGACCTGAAGACACAGGGTGGGAGCCCTCCAGTCCCTTCGACCCCCAAAGACAGTGAGAATGCCCACTGCTCCCCTCCAGGGCCTGGGCGGAGCTCTCTGCGACCAGGGTCTGCTGTGGAGCCAGAGAGCTGATCAGTGGACACTTGGAGTGGATGACCTGACCCCAGCCAGGAGTGGTGACTGTGGCAAGGCAGGAAGGCAGTGGAAGGGAAATGTCAAATCAGATGCACTGGAATGATGGGGCAGAATTTCTAAGAATAAATGATTTGCATAGAGTATGTCAGATTTCAAATAATTCTAGAGCATAATTACTAATGAGACACTGAACCGCACTGCCTGTAATTAGTCATCTGAGACTCTGAAACAGAAAACAGAAATCAACACAGCACTAATTTTTCCCTTAAGCTGCAGCACAGGAACACCTAGTGATGTGGCCTGTACTTTGCCTGCCGCCTGCACGGCCGTGTTGCTTCTGGGTCTGGGATTTCAGTCCTGCGCGAAATGATGCTGTTTGGGGAAGGGGTGTTGCTCCGGGGGAGGGGTTGGCATGAACCCAGGCGGGGACTTCCGGGGTCATGTGGACGCGCGGAAGCTGCTCCCCCGTCCCAGCGGTGCCCCTTTTGCTCTGAGGCAGACACACATGCCCAACAACCAGAGGGTGTTGTAAGGTAAAAATACACAGTTCCGAAAGGATGCGAGGGTAGAGCTTGCCTCCTAGAAAACCTCTCATTTACCTGGTTCTTCCCCCAATGATTTCCAATACCTCCTCATACTCAGATGACCTCTCCCCGGGACCAACCCCTGACCAGCTTCCGCAGGCTCAGTCATGGCTTGCTCCTGCTCCTGCTGTCCTCTCCGCCCCAAAGAGGCTGCAGGAACTATGGAAACCCGGTTAGAGCCATGTGGCTCCCTCTCCCACCCCAGGGGAGTGCCCCCCCTCCCTGGAAGCTGGCTGTGAATGCACAGACATCTTGGTGCTGCGGGAACCAAGGAACCTGCTGTCCTCTGGGTTCGGGGCTGGAGTGGGGGGCGAGAGAAGAGGCTCCCTGAGTCGGGACCAAGATCAGAAGACCATGCACGCCGTGCACGGGACACCGGGGTCACAGTCTATGGCAGGAACCGTGTAAGAAGGGCCAAGCACATGTTCAGAATCACCATCAAAGGACAAGGGAGTGTCCTTGAGGAGAGAAGACTGGGGCAGAGCAGGGCGGGGGTGACTGACCTCCAAGCCACGGTATGCATCTGTCTGACCTGAGGGCGTGGGGTTTCGGAGCCTGGATTTTGTTTTTAACCAGGAAGTGATGTTTAACGATGTTTGTCTGGCACACAGGGGTGGGAGGGCCAGGCCACACAAGGCCAGAAGTTTTGAGTGCCCTCCTTTCCGGGCACTCCCAAGGCCTGAGGCTGTCCCTTCTTGGCTCGTCTGTAACCACAGGACACTGGCGGGAGGTTCTGGTCTAAAGGGACGGTGGCAGGTGGGGGAGTGTGGGGCCCCAGGAGGGGACTGCTGACAGCACTGCCCCACCCCTGGCACGTGCCGCCACAGGCTGGCCAGTCGGCCCCGGGGGCCGACCCCGGAAAGGGGCCCTGTTTCCCAGCTGACCGTGCTGGCTTCTGTGCCAAGCACACCTGACAGGAGCCCGACTGGCAGCCCCACACGTCCTCCGAGACCTGGCCTGCAGTACGTGGGGACCCCACTGCCCTGGAAGGTTCTCTCAAGCTCCGCCCTGGCCTCCCAGGAAACTACGTGGCTGCCTCCTCGAGCCGGGCCTGACGCCACCTCCTGCACTCATGGCCGGAAGGGAGCGTGCCAAGGCCAAGCCGCAAGCACCCAGAGGCCGGGACACAAAGAAACAGTTGCCCTGGCCGTTCAAAACCTGCACGTTCGCTGGCGCCTGCTCAGAATCTCTTCCAGGGAGACAGTGCCCAGTGCCTGAGGGATTCGTTGGTAAAAAAGGAGTAAAGACAGCTGTCAAGTTCGAGTTCCCTTATAGTCGCTGTTCTCCATCTCTTCCTCCCCCACCCTGCTTTGCCCACCTGCCACCTGGGATCCACACAGACCTCTGGGCTGTCTCAGGCGTGGCACCTTCCCTCCACCCACGGAGCAGGCAGACAGACCCTGAACAGGACGGCTCCACGCTGGTGTGACAAGTGCTTCAGCAGAGGGGGTCAAAGCAGAGGGAGGGAGACACCGGGGCTGGGCTCCGTGACAGCACATGACTGGGTGTCCCTGACTGCCCTTCCTGCCACCCAGGTTGGGGGCCCACCCCCGGTCTGCCACAGCAGCCCGGTCTGGCCTCCCCTCTGAGCCCAGGACGCTCTCGGTGTCTGCCTGACAAGTCGTGCCGGCCGGGCCTCCACCAGTTCTTTCCACCTGGACAGCCTGGGCTCTGGGCTCCACCGAAATAGGAAGCCGTGCTCAGAAGCAAAAGTACTACGTTTTTGCCTAACCACATGGCAGGAATGATACATTCTTATTTCGGCTCCTCCAATTGCTCAAATTTGGTCACGTTCGATCAGAAGGAAAGCCACAGTCATGGTGAGCTCATTTAGAAATGAGATGTCTCGCTCATTGTGCAAAAGTTACAGATGGACTTCTGCCACAGGGGTGACCTAAATTACAGGGTGACAGCACAGTTCAGCGGGACTGGAGAGGATGGCAGCGGTATTCATAGTGGGGTTTGCAGGGGGCTCTGCAGCCCATACTCACTTGTTCACCCTGAACGACAGTGCCACTGGGAGGGTGCGGTTGTCATCCCCATTTCACAGCTGAGCAAGGGGAAGCTCAGGAAGGTCTGGGACCTCATCTCCAGCCCCGCGGTCAGTGAGCTGCAAAGCTGACACTCACACCCGGGCAGGCCGGCTCCTGGGCCTTGCCCTTAACCTCTGTGCTGCCTGTCCTATCACTCGAGCTGAGCGTCCTCAAGGACTCTACTGCCACCCAGCCTCAGTGTCTTCCCGTTGGTCCGGTGCTGCTCCTAGTTTGCCAGGGGACCTGGGACAAGTCGCCAAGAGCAGTTTTCCCTCAGTAAAAAAGAAATTCTCCACTGCACCTCATATCATGAAAACAAACATCAGATAACGACATGGGAGATTTCAGATTT